TTCTTTCCAATAGGGGCCAGGGATTTAGCTCAGTGGTTTTGCCACCTGCTGCGCAAGCGCAACGACTCGAGTTCAATCCCTGGTACCAAAAAAAAAAAATTTTTTTTCCAATGTTCAAACAAAAATCAACTTGTATAATCTCTGTAGTAAAATGGTACAGGTCTTGGCCACTTGGAAAATGTTAAAAACTTCTGAAACTTGAGTGATAGAGGCAGCACATAAAAACTTCATGAATCTTTTTTCCCAAAAGGAATACTTTCAGTAAAACATTTTACTATTTTATGAGTATGCATTGATATTTTTGTTCTTCCTGAAAAAGCAAATTTACATTAATACTGTAATTTTCCATGTAAAAATACACACATACAGATATTTCACCTACAGATACTTAACTTCCTGAGTAACCAGTCATACATCAAACATAATTTAGTAAAAACTTTCTAAAATTTTAGCATATGTAGATTTATATTTGTACAGGATAAAGCTACAAAGAGCATCTCACAGAACTTATACTTAAATTCTCTAAATTAACCAAAATGATTTATCCTCTAACAACCAATAACTTTCTGAAACTTAAAAAAACAAACCACTCAAAAATTGTATTTTCTAATTTATTAACGAAATACAGATAGCCATCTGATTAGCTGATAGCTATCAATATGGACTTCCTATTATATACACCAAAACTGGATTCACTTAGCACGTAATTTCTTGCAGTACAAAAATTAAAATATTTGCTTTATAATACAACCATCTATGAGGTCTGATCAAAGTATATGAGAATGTTTAGATTTTTTAAATTTGTTACAGTAAAAGACACAATGCCATTATGGCATTATAGAGATGTGTCTTTTACTATAAATTTTTTTTTCAAAATCTCAACACTATTTTTTAAAATCATGTCTGCTATACAATCCACCCTTCTGAAGCTGTCTAGATGATTAGGAACTTTGGCAATTTCTTTTGCCTAAAATCCTTTCCTCTTCATAAAGCCCTGAGGTGAAAGGTCATTCATGAAATAAGACTGGAACCACAATTCTTCTCATTTCTGTATTAAACTGCAGCTGTACTTTTTAAAAAAACAAATGTGGCAACTGGAAAAGCTCCTCTGTACAGTTTTTCAAAATATTTTCAGCTCAATTTAGTGTAAAGAGCCTAAAAGGGCCCTATAAAACAATGTCCTTTCAATATTTGCTAGTGTCGAGATGAGCGCCATTTTCCATCTCCACTACTGTCCCTTCTGTTATTATAATCATGGCTCCAGCCAGCACGATTCCTATCTTTGTAGAGGAAATCTTCTCTGCTTCCTCTGTAACGGTGGTCAGACCCATGATCAGTGTAACTCTGTTCTCGGCTATAATGTCTATCTGCTGGGTAGGGATGAGAATTCTGCCTGACTTTACACTGTGATGGTGGTGTACTCTGGCACCACTGGGAGCTTGAAGACTGGTTAAAAGTATGATTATGTGACTGAACCGATGGTGAAGATCCTGATTGATCCACATGTGGAGAACCAAATTTCCCACCATATGACACCCATCTTAAAACACTGTTCATCACTGCTTGTCTCTGATAATTTTCAGGAGAAGAGCATGATCTCTGAATTATCTGTGGTGATGGTGTCATGTTATCTCCAGTCCTTTCATATCTGCTAGGAGATGTGGAGGTAGGGCTTGAATTTCCAACATGATGCTGGGGGTATGATAAACTGACATCCTGTGAGGCATGACTACTTCCTGATCTAAACTGAATTTTGATGGGCCTTCCAAAAAGTTTGATTCCATTAAGTAGATTCATTGTATAAGGAACAGATACTTCATGTTTAAAATTCACAAACGCAAATTGCTTCGGTTTACCATCCTTATCTTTTGGAATTTTCACCTTTATTACTGGCCCAGCCTGGTGGAACAGCTCGAAAAGCAGCTCCTTGGTCACTTTAGTTTCAAGGTTGCCCACAAAGAGCTGAATTCTTTTAAATGATTTTTCTGCCTCTACTGAGGGTATTTATGTGGGCTTTGTCCTTCATCCTTTTAATATAGTATATTATATCAATTGATTTGTTTTTGGATGTTAAATTAACCTTGCATTACCGCTTGATCATGGTGCATAATCTTTTTTATATGTCGCTAGATTTGTTGCTAGAATTATGCTGATGCTTTTTGTGTCTATGTAAGAAATGTTGGCCTGTACTCTTCTTGCTTGTGCCTTTTTGTCCAGCTTTAATATTAGGGTAATGTCTAAGATGAGGTGGTAACTATTTCCACCTCTTCTAATTTTGGGGGGGAAGAGTTTGTGAAGAATTGCTATTAATTCTTTAAATATTTGGTAGAATTCACCAGTAAAGTCATCTGGTTCTGAACTTTTTTTTTTTGTAAGAAGGATTTTTAAAAATTATTACTATTACTAATTCATTGATTTACTACAGGTCCACTCAGATTTTCTATTTCTTCTTGAGTCAGGGTCTTGGTGCACTTTCTGCTGCTATGACTGGATACCACAGACTGGGTAGTTTATAAACAACAGTAGTTTTCTGGCTCACAGTTCCGGAGGCTGGGAAGTCCAGGATTGAGGGGTCACACCTGGTGAGGGCCTTCCTGTTTCATCATCCCAAGGCAGATGACAAAGAGGGTGAGAAAAAGCAAGAAATCAAAATGCAGCCTCAAGTCCTTTCATAATCAGCATTAATCCACTCATGATGGTGGGGTCCTCATGACGTAAACATCTCCCATTGGACCCCATCCTTGAAACTGCTGCCATGGAGATTAAGTTTCTAGCACATGTTTTTGAGGGGATACATTCAAACTATGGTACCTCCTGAGTGTCAATTCCTTCATTTGTAAAATGGGGATAAAAATACATCCCACCTACTTCAGAGATTTACGAGATTAAACATGAGGATAAGACACAATGTTGTAAAGCACACAAGTGGCTAGAGACCACTAGATGTTCTTAAGGAGCAGAAACTACAGCAACCATGTGTGTGTCCTTCACAGAGCTGGAAGGAAAGAGGAAAGAAGATGGGCAAGAACACACGACTGCCTGGGCTGCATAGGCAGCCTGGTTTAGCCAAGGGCACAGCCTACTGGAGCTTCAAGAATATCCTATGTCCAAAAAAATGGGTGGAGGGGCTCAGTAATCATCCAGATTGCCAGGCTATGAGGGTAGTCCCAGTTACTCAGGAGGCTGAGGCAGGTGGATCATTTGAGTCCAAGTGTTTGAGACCAGCCTGAAAAATATTTCGAGACCCTCCTCTCAAAAAGATTTTTTAAAAACTCCTCCAGGTCAATTCCTTGTTTAACAGAAGGTGGGCTTCACTCTGAGAGATGCCCAGTGACCCGTCCAAGATCTTGTGGCAGAGGAGCCAGTGAAATGATTAATAACTGAAATAGCTGTACTGTCACAGTTGAGACAGTATTGTAAAATGTATCTTACCTATTTTCACAAATTGCCTTTGAACTGTGTGAGGAAGTATTACAATTCCTATTTTTCCACTTAGGGTGAAGTCACTTGTCCAAGGAAGCTCACAATCCAGATGGTCATTATGCCCAGCTACGACCATTTCCCTCCACCACATTTTCATGCCCACGCCAGGACAATCATGCACCACATGATGATAGATTGGTCAGTAACAGGCTGCACACACAGTAGTGCTCTCATCAGATTACATTTCCTAGGGACTTCGGAGCCTTCTTAGTTGGTTAGTTTGGGGACTGTATGATGTTCCCACAATGAAAAATCACAAAACAGCACATGTGACAAACTGTGTCTCCATTGTCAAGCAGTGGTGCGTGACTTTACTTAGCACACTCACTTCAGCATTCAACCGATTGCAACGTTCCGTTTATTAGGAGGATTTTCTTATTTTACCTTGCCTTCAGCAATATTTCACATTCCATCTTCCCTGAGAGGATTCTCCTCATCTTTTGTCTGTAAACTTCAGTGTCCTCACTTGGCACCAGAATTTTTAAAGCTCAGTTATCAAACACAGACTTCTCATCCAGATCATCTTTACAAAGTGTGTGTCCACATCATATTATGTAAATGTGCATCATCGTTGCACCGAACACAGTGGACTGGGACAGTCAAAGCACAAAGGTGGCTCCCTCATCAAAGAAAACCTTAACATGTAAGAACCAAAACAACAGTTTCAACAAATGCATAGAAAACGAAGGCAAACACTTCCTGGTTTTATCAATAAAACCAGATTTGTGTTCAAGGACGAGTCTCAGAGTGAAGTCAGCAACAGAAAAAATGATCCAGATAACTGCAGTCACCCACAGTCACAAGTTCTGAACCTGTGTGCGCCTCTGTCCTGTGGGGAGCCCAGGGGTGGGGGTGGAGGTGGAAAACACTAAGGAGAATTCATGGGTGGCTCTCTCAGTGTCTGTCTCTTTTCTTTAGTAGAAGGGCCTGTCCCCCCATCACGACCTGTAATTCAGGAGCAAGGAATGCGAGTTCTGCTCCACTGGCACAGTTAGCAGGTTTGTTAATAACCCTTTTAAACTCATGCAGGAGGCTTGGACGTGCTTGGTCTCCCCACAGAGGTGCAGAGGTTCACCCGCGGGGTGGCCACTCCTCTGGGCGGAATGCTATCTGGCAGGGGCCAGAGGCGCGGCCCGCAGGCCTATAGGTGGCCTGCGCGTCCCTTACTTTCTCACGCACAGGCCTGCAGCGATTTCACGGCAGTTCCCCTTGGAAGCGCCGGCATCTGCTTCCCCACATGGGGTCCCTACTTTCTCACTACCCAGGTGCCCCAGCACGACTCCCCGCAACAGCTCCGTACCTCCGCTCAGGGCTCAACAGACTTGGCAACCACTTGGTGAAGGCACCTGCGGGCCCCCAGGGCCGCGCCCCAAGCCTTCGGGCCTCCGGGCCCCCACCCGAGGCCCGGAAGCCGAAGCCCCAGAACCTCGAGGGGGCCCTGGCGGCTTTCGGGGGAGCCAGAGACCGTGACCCCGCCCTCCACCAGTGTCACGCAACGGGGAGAGCAGCTCGCTTACCGACATGCGTGATCGCCGTGGCCAGCCGCCGGGTGAGCTCCTGGGTGGCCATTTCTTCTTTTAACCAAAATAGCATTTCACCGAAAGCCCACCACCTGCGCACTAAACGAAGCCAAACGAAACCGTGTCTCCCGCTGGCTCGGAAGCCGTGTCACAGGTTATCTGCTCCGAGGGTGCCCTGCGCGCATCCGCCCCCTCGCTCTCTCCAGGCACAAAACAGTGCCACTCGCAGCCCCGGGCAAATCTCCGGCACGCCGGGCACCCCCGCCGGGGCTTATTCAGGGACCAAGTCCGGAGCCTTTCCAACGGCTGCGCCTTGCATGGGGGCCAGGGAACCGAACGCCCCGCTCTCCCCGCAGGGCGCGCCGCGTTCCTGGACCTGGGTCCCGGCCGGCGGTCCTGCGGCGAGTCGGGCGCAGAGGCTCCGGGGCCGCAGGGACCGGGGCAGGGAGACTCAGCGGCCAGGCTCCTCGGCGCCGCCCACCCCACGCCCCGGGCCGCGGGTGGCGCAGGCTCTTCGGGAGGCAGGCGCAGGCGGCCGGCGGCGCTCGGAGATCGCCAGCCGCGCTCCTCCCGCCTCGGCCCCTCCTTCGTCCCCGCCCAGCGTCTGCGAAGAAGCCGGGAGGTCGGGCACAGAAAGAGGCGCTACCGTCCGGCCGAGAGGATGCCTGGGCCAGGGAGGCCCTGCCGCCCGCCCTTTCTCCTGCCTCAGGCGCCTGTTGCGCAGGAGCGGGCGGGGGAAGCGTGTCTGTCCCAAAAGAGGTGGTGTCACCCAGCTGTCAGCCCTCACCGGGCACAACTGCACCCTGAGCCGAGGCTGGACACGCACGCGCCACTCAGGGCCCCGCCGCTCTGTCCTTTTCCTTTGTCAGATGTGTTTCCATGTGGAAAGGCTCTGCCAGTCTCCATGCCAGCTTTTCTCATCTCTTCCAGAAGATGCGCAGCTCCAGATGCTACCTGAGAGGCAGCAAGAGCTTCTCTAATTCTGTTCAGCAGAGCCGAGCAGGAGAAGCCTACGCAAAGGCCAATCTGGTCACGTTGTCCCCCAGTCCATTCCGCAATGGGAGGGCCCGTCCACGTGCGCTCAGTGACGCGGGACTCTCAGCTCTTCCACCTGTGAGAAACCACGCCCCAAATACCCTGGGCCCAATTTCTAGCGGTGCACATTCATCCCAGGGTGTTGAGGACTTTTCCAAATGCTCTTTGTAAGGATGACAGGCCGAGGTTCCGAGCTAAAGCTCATCCCCCTGTGACCCGGGATTTGTAGAGGTTCCTGCCTCCCCGGAGGTTCGGGCACTCCGCTCTGTCTCCACAGGTGGAGCAACCATTTTCATAGCGACCTCTTGCAAGAGATTCAGGAAGGGGTTAAAGACCCAGAGGAAGTGAGGCAGCTTGGATTTGTGCTTCCACTGTGATTTCTGGTTATTCAAGGATCAGAAGTATTTTCAAAGAACCAAATGAGGTGTTTCCTGCTGATAATAGTGAGAAGCCCGGTGCGCGAAGCCAATTGTGAGTTTGGGCAGCAGAAACCTGTGCGTTGTCTGGGAGACGGGTGATGTGGGGACAGGCTGGGGTGCAGGGCTGAGACGCTTTGAAGGTTCAGTGGCCTCGGCTTCCTCGTGTTTTAGGCCAAGTCTTTATGCGTGGGAATCATGAAAAGGGGGAGAAAAGGAAATGCAAAGAAAAGGACAGGAGAGAAGCTTGTGAACAGGAACTAGAGGGAAAAGAAGCAGAAAGGAAGTAGATGCTACCCAGAGTGCTGCTCTCCTTTCCAGAATGTGCTGTACTTTCGGTCTCCAGAGGTTTCCATGGAGATAAATTGGCTCCATTTCTGGAGAGAGGTAGCAGGCAGTGTCTATCCTGGGAAGCCAATTCTGCCCCATTTCTACCACTTGCTGCATCGGGCCTTGACTGGGTGGTGAGGAGGCCTCTGTGATCTCCAAGTTCCTTACCTCCTGTGACCGTGACTGAGAAGAAATGACCATTCCACCTTGTTGCCATTGCTCTTATGAATACTCAATCATTCCTCCCTCTTCCCAAGCTCCCTTTTCTCCTTTCTAATTATGCTCTCTTTCTTGCCTCTAGGGCTGGCAAAACCAGAGGAACAAACCAGACTAGGCTGCCTCCCTCTCCAGTGAAATCAGTTGTCAGTCCAATCCACTGAGCATGTGTTATGCTTTCAATAGGCAGTCTCAGGTACATCGACCACCGGCACCCATAACGAGGGTCTGCTCTCTGCCTGCTATGCCGTTAGGCATTTCACAAACCCCACTTTGGCCTCACAGCAGCCCTTTACAGGAACTGGCCCATGACAAAGGTTCAAGCTGTGTTGTAACAATCTAGACCACTTTCTGCCTTCGGGTTAAGGATTTGCCTGAGCCTGGCATGGCAGTGCCTATAATCTCAGCCCTCAGGAGGCTGAGGGAGGAGGATCGCCATGAGTTTGAGGCCAGCCTAGGCCACCATAGTGAGTTCAAGGCCAGCCTGAACTATGTAGTGAGACCCTATCTAAAAAAAACAAAACAAAAAACAACCCCAAAAAAGGATTTGCCTGAATTTGGAAAAAGAAACCACCCTCTACAACCCGTCAAGGTAGACCCACATCAGCGTAAATGTACAGTCAGCATAACAAAGAGCAAGACAACGGACCCAACTTGCCCTGGTGTCACAAGTGAGGCTGACGACGCCTGAGATACCACACAACTGTCAGTTTAGTCTCAGCTCGTGGTTGTGAAGCTTTAGTTGGGAAGGGAGAGTTAGGTTTTTTAACTGAAATACAGATTCCTTAGACTCACCTCCAGATATTCTAGCTTAGTTATCTAGGGTGGAACCCAGTAATTTGCATTTCTAACCAATCCCAAGGAATACTGATGCTGCTGGTCCTGGGGTCGCTGATCCAAAGCAGAGGCCTGCAAACTTCTTAGACTGCAAACCACAGTATGATTGTGGTATCAGGGAAAGACACTTGATTTATTTTTCAGTTCCTGGCACAGAGCCCCCAAAGCCTTTGTTGCATCCTGAGTGCAGTGACAGGGTGATTGTAGTGTCTTCTGTTCTAACGAGGCGACTCCTGGTAAGCCCACAGACAGCGCTTCAGAACGGGAGCTGGCCACCGAAGGCCAACCCGTGGTTCCCAGCTTGGAACCCTCAGTCCCACCCCAACTTCCAGGAAGAGAGAAAAAGGCTGGAGATGGAGTGGATGACTGAGAGCCAGTGATTTAACTGACCATGGCTACACAATGAAATCTCTATTTTAAAATCCCTAAACTACGAACTTCTGATTTGGTGAACCATTGAGGTTCTGGGAGGTTTGGGGTGACATGGACACTCTGCATATCACCACCCTTCACACTTTGCCCTGTGCATTTCTTCCATTTGCCTGTTCCCGAGTAGTATCCTTTACACTAACCCTGTAAAAGTAAATACAGCATTTTCCTGAGTTCCGTGAGTCATTTAGCAAATTATGGAAGCCGAGATGGTTGTGGGAACTCTAAGTTACAGCTGGCCAGAAGTACCGGAGGCCAAAGACCTGCAACTGCCATCTGAATGGGGCTCGACTGAGCCTCTAACCTGTGGCCTGTGCGAACTCCAGATGGCCGTGTCAGAACTGAATTGTTGCACACCCAGCTGATGTCAGAGAAATGGTGTTGAAAAGGACGCCACATATTTCACAGATGATCGGTGCCAAAGTCACCTGTGAGGACACTTCTAAATTGGGGCAGTCATCTTTCCTTTTGCTGAAATCAGCCTGCTACCCTGTGGAGGGGTGTAATGTGCATGCGTGTCCACACGAGGGAGCCGGGCAGCACATTTGCAAGCCACTCTCCTCCCCATGTTTCCTCTCTTGATTTTTCTCTCATCTGGCAAGTGACGTAACTGGAACCCAAACTGAGTTCCCAGCCTCATGGATGTCCGCTGTTAAAGTGATCATGTTGACTGAGATGAGGACCTGGACATTGGAACAGGACATCCAGGGAGATCATGACGGAAATGGCGACACTGAACCCCTAACTACTTATGACTCTTCTTTGCCAATAGAAGTAGCGTCACCACTCCTGGGAGAAGTGGCTTCTCCACTCCCATCCAGAAGGATTAATCCTGGGTCAAGAAAGCTGTGAATCCCTCCACCCCCAGCAGTTGTTTGCAAAACAGTTCTGACTCTCCTCAGGACCCGCCCAGCAACCTCTTCTTTTGCTTCCCGACCTATATACAACCAGGCTCAAGTCCCAGGCCCCTAAAGGTAAAGTACAAAGTATGGCCCATGAGGAGATATAGTATACCCCAAAGAATTACTTGAGAGCTCTGATTTACACAGACAAAAATCTGAGGAATATGTGTGAGAGTAGATGTGAAGGGTGTGACAAAGGTAGAGCCCTAAAACTGCATCGGGCCCAATTTATTGATATGGACCCATAAGCAGAGATATTGCATTTAATGTTGCAGCTTAGAGAGCTGGAGCTCTGGGTGTGTGGTTGGCAGGCAGATGCATGAATCAAAGGGTGGCTGCAGTGGGCAAGTTAGGGAAGCCTGACCTGCTTTTGTTTAATGCAGAGGAGGGAGTTCAAAGGCTTAGGGAGATCAGGATGTTAGAATGCATTTGTCATTAAGACCCACCTGGGAGGATCCAAAAGACACATCTTTGGCTGTGACTATGAAAAAGAAATTTGTGAGGGGAACCTCAACTTTCTTGAAGAGCTCTATTGTCACTCTTTTCTATAACCCAGATTTATGGCTGGAACTGCCACCATTGAACTGGGAACCCCAAATCCAATGGGAGCAATTAGATTCCAGTGCAGCAGGGACTATGTGGCAGTGCCCAGCCACCAAACAGGGATGAATGTGGTTGCTGCAATAGACAGAGCCAAACAGTAATCGGAACAGTCTGGCTCTTCACACAAATGGCGTTGCCTAGTTGACCATGGTGTTCCTAGAAGTGGATGAGGTAGGTGGTCTACTAAATTCTTATTTGATCTGCATAAGCAAAAAAGTTCTAGGTCAAGTGAACAAAAGTCTAGCTTGAATCATAAAAACACAGCCACCCTAAACTTATGGATAAGACATTTGCCTAGAAAACAGATTCCGTAGGCTGTCTCTTAGCATTACCATAGCCTGTGATTAAAGAGAATGGAAAACGACAACAACCCAATACAGCTAAGACTACTCAGAAACAAAAATTTGGGTCACTTTACCTGTTAAAGAATCAAGACCAAGCTGGGCATGGTGGTGCATGCCTGAATCCCAGCACACGAGACGCTGAGGCACTCAGGAGGTCGAGGTCACTTTGAGGTCGGGGCCAGCCAGGGTTATACAGTGAGTTCAAGGGCAGCCTGAACCACATAGTGAGATCCTGTCTCAAAACAAAAAACAAAAAACAAACCCCCAGCATCATGACCAACTGAGGTGCTTGCTGAAAGCAAAAGGAATAAGAAATGGACAGTGGAAGAAGACAGATATAAATGAGTTACACACATGTGACCAGTTACAAAATGAATGCTTTTGTCTTTATTTCTTCCTTGGTTTTTGGGGGGTTTTTTGGTATCAGGGATCAAACTCAGGACCTTGCACTTACTTTAGAGGGAGGCACCGGAACTACTGAGCTAAATCCCCAGCCCTCTTCCTTGTTTTTTAATGACAGTGTATCTTTATTTTCTTCCTTTTCATGCCCCCTTCTCATGCATTGACTTAAGATAAATTAATTGACTTTATATGGGAGTATTTAAGTACTGTCAACTTTGCGTCATAGTATTTAAGTTATGGTATATGTCAAAGAGAAGAGTAAACATTACTTAGGGACTTTTCATCTTCTAGAAAAGATTGATGTGCTTTCAGTTGGGCACAGGATAGGTGTATTATACAGATGGGATTATGATCTTGCTGTTCTCTTGGAGACTAAATACGGTTTAAGAAGATGCAAATGGGTGGTAAGCTGGTAAGAAATGGACTTACAATGATTAATTCTATGTGTCAATTTAACTGCCAGAGGATGGCTAGATATTTGATCAAATATTATCCTGGTGTTTCTGTGATGGTGTTTTGGGATGAGATAAAAGATTTAAATTGGTAGACTGAGTAAAGCAGGTTGTCCTCTGTAATATGGGGAGAACTCATCCAGTCTACTGAAGGCTCCCCCTGCCTGAAAGAGGCATTGGCAATGCCTAGTTCCCCTGCAACTGGGACATCAGCTCTGCAGACTTGGGGCCTGCACTCCCATAATCACGTGCCAGGTGTGTGAGTATGAGTGTGTGTGTTTCTCCTACCGGTTCTATTTCTTTGGAGATCCCTGAATAATGTGCTATTTCATGTAAATGATGTTTTTAAAATTTCAAATTCCAATTATTCTTTGCTGATAAACAGGAAAACAACTGACTTTTGCATACTAACCTTTAATCCTACAATCATCTAAGATCCATTTCTCAGAAAGTATCTGTTATTAAGTGATACAGGACTACAGATGCATTTCTGCATCTTGCTTTTTTTATTATTTTGTATATTTTAGAGATAATTCCATGCCATTGCCTACAATACAAAAACTTGAGTTATTCTTTTTAATAACTGCATAGTAATTCATTTTATGTTTGACCATATTATAATTCAATCAGTTTTGTACGAACAAATTGTTTTTTCTATTAAAAAGAGCAGTGTAATGAACTTCATTAATCACTGGTCATTTCAACATGTTAGAGTATATTTTTAAGATGAATTTCTAGCAATAGAATTACTGGGTAGAACTGCCATTTTGATAAATACTGCCATATTGTTTTTCACAGGGTCATTGTTTGTGCTTCTATCTATCAGCAATATATGATAATCCCAGTTCTCCTACTACTTCACCAAGTACAGCATATTAAAGAATTATTTAATTTTTAAAATAAATATGTTATTTTAGTTTCATTGTATTTTTCTTATTTTTGATGAGGTTGAGCCTTTATATTGTGCATTTTTCTGTGAATTATTGATATGCTTTTGTTTTCTGACAGGTTGCTGATGTTCTTAACTATAGGTTCTTTTTTCTGAATTAAAAAAATGAGCTCATGTGATATCAGTTGCAATGTTTGTCATTTTGGCTTATATACTTTTGCCACTTTAAAAAAATTATATACTTAAATCTACCAATTTTCTGTTATATGGCTTCTGAGCACTGCTGTGGAATGTATCAGGATTTCTTCAAGGGCACTCACACTTTATCTTTCCCATTTATTCTTTAATCTATCTGGATTTTGGTGTAAAATATGAGTTGTTAATTGGGTTCTAACTTTACTTCTTTGTGATGGCTATCCAGTTGTGCTGATACTTGTTGAATTTTTCAAGTTTTTTAAAATCAAGAATATATTTTGAACTTCATCAAGTGCCTTTTTGGCATTTATGAAAATGAAAGTTTTCTTTTAAATAAGTAATATAATTATATCCTTACATTTTTTTGAAATGGCATGTTATATTTATTTAGTCAGGATTTTCCCATGATATTTATGAATACGAATTTTTGTGATCAGTATAGATGTGTATGATGCACATGTGTTTTATGAGATTTTGGCATCAGTATTGTTCTCACTTCATAAATAGAATTTGGAATGTTTCCTTCTTTTTCTGTCCTCAAGAAGAAACAAGAGGGGCTGGGGATTTAGCTCAGTGGCACCATGCCTGCCTCACAAGTGCAAGGTCCTGAGTTCGATCCCCAGTACCACCAAAAAAAAAAAAA